GTTTCAAGGGAACTATGTTGAGTATAATTTTATATTAAAATAACTTTTTACGAGTTAAGAGTATATAATAAATTATTAAAAATACTCTATTGAGATGTTTTGAACTCATAAAAACGCTATTTTCAAATTTTTTGAGTTTCTGAACTGTTGGCTATTGTTAGGTAGTGTTACGGACAGTTTGGCGTCACTTAAATGATTAAAAATAATTTTTAATGGATTTTATTAATTTTATAAAGTTGAATTATTATATGTGTCAGAGTTATTGTGTGAGCTGTTGTGGTAATCCATGAGAGAGGATTGCGCGAGTTTGTCAATGCATGAATGTTAGGATCAAAAGATGGGTCTTAACACATTGAATTTTGTTAATATGTTTGTACATTCATGTTGATTTGTGTCAAGAGGCATGCTTTCTAGTTCAGAATAGGGGACTAGTGGCTTGTCCCATGCTCAGAAGAGGGGGCTCATGGGTTCAGAAGTTGGGATCCGGTTTCAGAGAGAACCAAATATTGAGTTGGTACCACATGCATATGCATAAACTTGCTGTTGATTGATGAGATTTTGGTGTGAGAATGTATTATGATATATAATGAATGATATGGTGTAGAGAAATGATGTGTTATTATCCTATCTTGCAGTATATGCCTATTATTACTAATTGTGATTTCTGACCCCTTCTGTTTGAATGTTGCCTTTACATGGGCATCGTGCAGATACTCAAGAGCAGAAGTTAGCTCCTGGAGCTATTTATTTTATTTGTGTCGTTTTAGTTTTGGTTATACTCTGATATGTAACATTGGGAAGTGATTTTATTTGTTTTATGTTGAGGTTTTTTGAGAGACAATGTATGCTCTCATATGTTTATGTTTTGGTGTGATAAGTATTTGGAGAAGACTTACGAGTCAATACTTTTAATTATAATATGAAATTTTATTATGGGATTTAAACTGGTGAATGTGTTAATTATGATTCCGCTTCTATGATATTAGATGAGTTGGATGTCGTGTAAACATCCTAAATGAAATTGTGTGCATTAAAATATTGTATTGCATGTTTAAATAATTTAAGTGTTACATGATTAGCAGGTGTGTGTGTTTCGAGAGGTGGATCATCCTATGTAAAAATGTTATAAAAAGAAATCTATGATTTAAATATAATTATGCGTTGGGAAAATAGAGTGTTATATTTTTCACTAAGACAAATAATATATTTAACACTCGAATATCAAAAGTCATCACGTTTGAGGTATGTTTATTCTTCTTTTTAAAAAAATTTCTTCTTCCAATAGTAGATTTATATCAGTAAAATATCTATCATGTTGTATGAATTATTTTCCCCTTACATTTGTTTCACTGAAATGGATTCAGTATCACCGAAATGGCTTTAGCACCACCGAAATGGCTTTAATTTCTCTTGATAATTTGTTTTTCCATTTTGATCACTGAAATGCTGTTAGTCAGTATGTTTTACGTGTTGTTTATAACCGAAATGATGTTAGTTAGTATGTTTCTTTATTTATATATTCATGATCAATTCGACAAGCACCTTTAATATAACATCTGTTGTAACCTCTATTAATGGAAAATGTAAAAGAAAAACTAGAGGTTTCACAATGTATACCAAGGTGGAAAAAGTCCATGAAAAGGGTATTTGCTCCCCAGTTATAGTTGATGTTGCAAACGACAAGGCTTATGGTGAAAATGATGAGGACTTTATGGGTAACATTGTGCTATAAGGTAGAAGTAAAATGAGTATTTTGATAGATAGTTGACACGACGTTGAAGATGATTTAAAATATAACATATGGACCAATGTTACAATGTTTATTTTGAATTTTATGATTTGTTTTACAAGTATATATGATCATTTATTTTTTGTTTAATACTAAAAACATTGTATTGTGTAAACATATGAGGTGTTTGATATTAGTCCAGATGATAGTATGTTAAAAAAGAAATTGTTTATATATGTTGGTCAGTGTTGGAGGGGTTTACGTCAAAGCTTGCCCGCGATTATATTAATAATCCAAGAGATGAAGATGACCTTGAATATAAGCCTCCGTACTTAATACATTCATTTATTGATTAAGAAGTTTGGGAGAAATTTGTAAAGTCTCACACCGCTCCTGAATTCTTGGCTAAAAGCAAAAAAAGGAAAGTATAATAGATCTAGAAATATATATATCCATATAGGTTATCTCGTGGAGGGTATCAAAAACTTGAAAAGAAGATGATTGAAAAAAAAGAAAACAAAGGGAGTAAGAGTTGGTAGATTCTATAAGCCTTGATCAGGCTCCATCTCTATCATCATGCCATGAAAAATGGAAAAGAACACTTCAGAGGCTACACGCGAAGTGGCTGAAAAAGATTGTAAGTAGATACTTTTTCAACAATATTTATTTTAGTTAAATAAATTCGATAAAGATGAAATTTTATATGCGTTGTAGGATTTATTGGTTGAACAATACAAATTCGGTCTCTTTATTCCGCAAGATCGTCATGACATCTTGGTAAAAGCAATTGGGATCGAGTAACATCTTGGGGGTTTTCATGGTCTTGGAAGAGGTGTTGACTTTAAGTCACATTTTGGACCATCTAAATCATGTAGACATGTAATCCGTATGAGGGAGATTGAAGATATAATTGTTGTACAGGTGGGGGAGGTAAAGGAGAAGTGGATTCAGGAGGAGAAGGGGATTTTTTTTGTAGTATGTGCGGGAGACTGTCCAGAAGCAGAAAGAGAAGCGAGGGAGATTGGTCGAGGAGGAGCAAAAGAAAACGAAATGGGGAGAGCTTGAGAGGATGTTCGAGAAGTGTATATGCGGCGTGCTTGAGGTATAAGTATAAATAAAAAAATTGTGTTGTATATTGTTGTTTTTTTTTCTTATTTTGGTTTTTGTATTTTATTTCTGTTATTTTTATGATACAAAAATTAAATTCACTGGGTCTACTCAACCAATCAATTTCAAATGCTCATTTGTGCATTCATGATAAAGTTATGCATGGTATAAGTACAAAAGAAAGTTGTTGTGTCCACCAGGACAATATTGAAACCACACCATCACAACTTGATAACACTAAGAAACTTTATATTACATTAGATAGTATTCCAGACATCGTACTCTCTAAAATTTTTATTATGGAATTTTTGAAGGGGGTGAATGGCTAGACAATACGATATCACAATTGTGGTGCTTGAAAGTATATTTACATTGACTTCTATTTATATTCATATGTTATCGTACGTTAACATAAAGATTTGACTTTTGTGGATTCTTGTATGAGATGTGTGTTGAAAAGAATTTAAGAAAGTTTGGTTTCATAGATCCAACGCACGTTATCCTACATGGTGGTGCGTGGTAGAAAATAACATTACGTTTTACGTACAAGACAAGTTGTTGAACAAAAACAAAGAATGTTATTTGGTCCCGTTTTTCCTCCGGTAAGTATTAATTTGTGTTTTTATTTAATTTTAATTATATTATTAACTATTCTAAATGTTTATGCAGTAATCATTGATAACTAATAATTATATGTCAGAAGTACAATGTTGTAGTTATGTTTTACTCGTTGCATTAGGAACTTTAAGAAATTATGATTAACAATTTCAATGGGTAAGTGGTATTATTTTTAATACTCAAATGTTACCTTTAGTTTTTAATAGTTTTTTTATTAATGTTTAATTTTATCCGACATGTGTAGAGTGGTGGAGAGATACAATGCAATTATACATAATGTACTTAGTAAAAATGAAGGTTCTATTATCCAAAAGTAAGTATATTACTTGTGTTTTTTGACATTCATTTATTAGTGTGTATTAGTGATATAAATGTATGAAAATCATTTGTAGTGGTGAAAACAACCCCAAAACTATTCTCGTGGATACTATGTTATGAGACAAATGATTAATATTATCTCTTGAGACATAATAAATGGATGTACTTATCATAAGGTATTAGCTTAATCCTTCTACGTGTAATTTATGTATATTCTTTAAGTTAACGTTGTTGTTAGTTAATCATAATTCTAATTATACTAGTTTAGCGACAGATCACCATATTTACAAGAAGATATAGATGCGATCTGATCACATTGGACCGATGTCTTCTTATCTTGTTATGAAAAGAATGTAAAACTTATATTCTATGTTGATAAGAATAGTGTAAATTTGTACATTTAATTTTGAAAACAATGTAAAACTTATATTCTATGTTGATGAGAACAATGTAAATTTGTGCATTTAAAATGATTTGATTATGATTCTGTCAATGTTTTGTTTTTGGGTAAAAGCAGTGATACAAAGCGGTCAATATGAACTTTATAATAAATTATATATGACAATAGATATGATTTAACAACTCAGTTATTAAATAAAACCAACGTACCAAAATAACTAATTATCTCAAATTTTAAATAAAATCTAGAAATAAAGTGACGTGCGTTTCATAGTTGTTGTTGCTATGAATTGAACCTGTAACTTTTTTTTTTATTATAATCTTTGTTTTTTTTATAAGCAAAGAGTAAAGTGACTAATTTTCATGTTGCCATATGTTATCTCGTTTGGCGTAATCGAAGTAAATTCATTTTACGTTTGAGGTGAGATGTATTATTTATAGTAATATTTAAGGTGAGACTATGTGCATGGTAGAGAAGATGCATTCAAAATTGAAGTTTGATTTATACATGACTTTTCATTAAAAAGATTGTATTATTATTAATAATACATTGTTAATTTTGTTAGACGAATTTACTTGGACAAATCACTAATATGGATAAATAAATTTAAAAAGAGATAAAGTACTAACAAAATGATAATATTTCATATATTACAAATGATAACACACATTCACCACATTGATTCGAATTAAACTCTTTTCCACATATATAATGATAATACATAACCACACGAGATTGATGAGTATCTATACCTCTTTTATTTAACACCAAACATTACTCATTCATGATATTTAATACTTTGAATGTGCATCATGTATCATGGTATTATCAGTTACCATTGTCGGAATCAACCCCATGTCTACCATGATGGTGTCTATGGCCATGACGGTGATCGTGTCTATGATGGTGTCGATGAAAACCCAAAAATTTGGCATCATTCAGTTCATTTGACTTTTCAGCAATCTCTGCAAATACCACATGATGTGAATTTAAATCTTAAATTACTTTTATAAAATTATATATATATATATATATATATATATATATATATATATATATATATATATATATATATATATATATATATATATATATATATATATATATATATATATATATATATATATATATATATATATATATATATATATATATATATATATATATATATATATATATATATATATATATATATATATATATATATATATATATATATATATATATATATATATATATATATATATATTATGATGTGCGCTGAAAAAATTTATATGTTAAGCACAAATTATGAAAAATAATGTATAGCTAGCTCACCTTCAGTTAATTCTCTTGCTGACACCTCTGAGGAAATAAGAAGAGCGATTGCCAATAGGCCAACAATGAGGATTGCTCTTTTGGAAACCATTGTACTCAACTCAAGATCAATTGAAATGTGATATTTGGTAGTGAAGGATGAGAAAAATAGTAAGGAAGTGTGGTCTATATATAATGGAAGGAAGTAGGAATCAATACGGAATCTTTACATGGTAGTGGGGATGGTAGCTAATCAATCTAATCTTTAAAACATGTAAAGATGAGAAAACAGTGAGGTTTTTGTCTTCTTGTTTTAAGCAGAAAATGACATTTTGCTTTAAATCAATCACGTACAGAAAAATATTTTAAAGTTGAAATACATATAAACTACTAATCAAATTACATTAACAAAAACTAGTTGCATAAGATTTTTGGCTAGTAATTTATAATATACAAGATGAAGTATTTTTCTTTGTTATAAAAGATATCCTATTTAATTTTGATGATAATAAAAAAAGAGTTGCTATTTCCAAAATACATCATGATTATATCTTATTTATCTCAGAAAAATGAAAAATAAAATTATTATATATAATAGGATAAACAAAACCTTAGCTTTATACGGTGTAGGTATCACGAAACATGTAAGAATAAAATTTCTTTAATAAAAAATATATGAGAATAATTTTGGTTATAAAATATATTTAAGTGTGCATATCCTATTATTAAACAAGAGAAACAATGCATCTACTTAGGGATGACTTCAAGTTTCAATGTCTCCTTCATGTGGAATTATGGCATTTCTTTAGGGATATGTTTAACTGGTTCTAATATTTCTCTTCTTTCCCTCAAAGTTTATCTTTCTAATTTGTTTCTCAGAGCCCTAAATTAAGTCTCCCACTTTTTGAGTGGATTCAAACCAATTTTTTTTTGGTGTGCTTCTATATAAGTTGTAGATAAAGTTCTTGTAGATTAACTAGATGATGTTATGGATAAAATAGCCTACTCCAATCAATCGATATTTCTTAAAGATAAATTTTAAGGAGGATTTTTAGAAATCATTTAATTCAGTTAGTTGGTGTTTTAGAGAGTATATTCTTATCATATTTAATTTTTGTAAGAACGAGAGGTTTTGGATGAGGGCTTATGTCTTTATAGGTAATCTTTTAGTGCAAGTGAATGGTTGTTCGACCAAAGAAATAAGTATTTAAAAGGGATGGAAGTAAGGCGACCCTTTAACCCCGTTTTTTTGTTGGTTGCAGAAGGTTTAAGGAGGTTATTTAGGTGAATGTTGATCCTAATTTTTTTCACCATGAGAAAAACTTTATTCTTTGTAAACAAGATATTATTCCGTTCAAGTTCTTTGATTTATCAGTGTGGAAAACTTCTATCTTGGACAAAACACCACATAAATAAAATTCAAGCAGCTATAAACATCACCCTATAGAGTTCATGCTTGATATCAAACCATCAAAATCAACATCAACAATTTAGAAAATTCTTGGAAAATCACCAAAAACCATATACCAAAACCAACTCCAAAATCAAGACAAAACACTTGACTTTCTATTGGTTAAGGAAGATGATAGGTTCAAAAGAAAATCAGAGAAAGTACACGACTTCACTTCTAATATACCTAGAAACAATTTCAAACCAAAAAAAAACATTCTCCACAATTTCATTTATAGTTGTTATAACACTAGAAAAAATACCATCATTACAAATAATCTAAATAGACTCGACAAAAACATGTCAAATCATAGAAAAATCACCCATAGACTTATGCATACACCTAAACAGGGGAAAAATAAAAAACGAAGTATATGTTTACTAGTAAAAACTTTACCACCCCAACCACTAAATGATCTTATATCGCACTGTCAAAGTTAACTCGCAAACTACAAAAAGATAGGAAACTGACTCAACTAAACCTCTACACATAAGACAAGAGATCCCATCAGGATCAACAATCACTACTTGCTTAAACAAGCTGTTTCTTGAAGGGTGTCTATCTTGTAAAAGCTATTAAGAAAAGACAGCCACCTTATAAGGGACATAGCTAACTTAGATAAGGAGAATGATCAAGTTCTTAACTAGATTCTAGGACAAAAAAGAGTTATTCAGGTATAGTTGAACATGGTAGGCAATGGTGGCAAATAATTTATCATTTTTGTATGGTTCTCTCTCTCTCTCTCTCTCTCTCTCTCTCTCTCTCTCTCTATATATATATATATATATATATATATATATATATATATATATATATATATATATATATATATATATATATATATATATATATATATATATATATATATATATATATATATATATATATATATATATATATATATATATATATATATATATATATAACCATTTCCGCGGAGTAGAAATAGATTAGAAACTCGAGGTTATCCCCCCTCCCCTTAGCAAAAAAAATAGAATGACTATATCTCGCTAAAAGGTTGTCACCCTAAAGACCATAAACACCTCTAATCAAACTCCACCTCCGTTTAACTAAAACGCTAAATTAACCAGACAAAGATCTTAAATGAAACTCTCATCCACGCGTACCCTAACCTGACTAACAGATCAATCCTGTTGATAAGAGGTACTTAAGAGCCTATGAAATATGACATTAAAGGAGTGGTAGATAAAATGTGAAAGTTATCATATCGGCCATATAAGGGGATGAAGTAGCAAAGGAACTATATATGACTGATTAAATATGATAACAGAGATCAGATAATTTCCCTTTCCCCTCTTTGTTGCTTTGTTAAAAATGGGCAAAAGTACCCCTTGGACTCTATTTAATGATAGTGTTCCCTGTTTATAAAAAAAAATATACCAAATTAGTCTGAGATGAGTCATCGCCTCTATATATATCAAAAAGGTAAAATTGATCATGCGTATATCCCAAATTTCGATACCACCATGATGCTTAGGCATATTGATGTTAAACACCAACGACAATTTCTTTTAATTAGTTATTTCCTCCGTCTCACAATTAACGACTCATTCAAAATAAAAAGTGTCCCAAAATTAATAATTAATTTTAATTTTTAATGTATATTTTTCAATTCTACAATCTAATTAATATTACTTTTATCAGTCCTAATATTTGATAAAGAATATTTTAATAAATATATTATTTTTCTTTTTTATTTATTCTTTATTTTAATCTATGTTAAATGACAAACTAAATCACTTATTATAGAACAAAAGAATTATTAAACTTATCATCAATTTGTTGTGTGCAACTTAACGATGCACCATCAACTATAGATAAATAATACATTGTCAACGGAATGATTTATATAAAAAAGTGTATTAAATAATATTGAAGTATGTTAGAAATTTTTTTATGTAACTCTAAATGAATCATCTATTTTGTTCCAATATAGCACTATCAAGAATTAAAATACATGCGGTATTGCATTGAGAAATAGATGTCACGATTAAATAAAATATTAGCTTCACATTTAAAATTAAATATAATAGTTTTCTTAAGTATTAAAAAAGGGTTTTTATTTATTTATTCTAAACGGTTTTCTATTTTTCACATGATGGGTCCACGAGACATGGCTTCTTTTGAGAAAATCTGAGATGAATAATGTTTGCTAAAGTCACATGCATGCATTTTTAACTTTACGACACTTTGGCATCCCACTTGCGAATTTCACCACAATAACATGTCGGCAAAAACATTGATTAAATACAATGTCGGCAGAAACATTGATAAAATAAGTAAAAGAATATATAAATATTTTTAAATAAGAATTATAAATATATAAAATTAATTATACTTAAATATATTTTTTACAGGCAAATAAAAATCATTAGATAAGAGTATTAGAGATACTCCAACTTAAATATAAAAGATAACGACTTCTATAAGAATTCGTACCGATGATTAAATCATTTATAATAATTACACCTAATTCTATCTTTACTGATTAAACCTTTACAAACAAGATATAATTTTATAAAAAATCACATGTAAATCTCCCATCTCGTCATGAAATAAAATGGATTTTGAAAGAACCAGGCACACTAATAGTAAAAATCGCAACACTCTTCATCAATATTCCAAGAAATCCCTAGCCACGGAAAGACTATATTCCATACCATTCTAATCTTAAGACACCCAAACAAAATATGATTAATGTCTTCTACCTTAAAAAAAATAGAACACACAAACAAAGTCATGGGAATTTGAATAATATCTCTGTTTGTCAAGTTTCTCCTTTTTGAAAGCTCATCCAACAACACTCTCCATCCGAACACCTAAACTTTCTGAGACAGTATCGTTTTCCACACTTAAATACATTTTTAATGTCATTGATAAAAACAGAGAAATTTAATATTCAAATTATTAGTTGTAAGAACCACCTAGATAACATAAATATTGAAAAGTATTTAATTAATAAGTTTTGTAAGTATTATTTAAATTACATATTTAATCATAAATTATTAAAATTATAAGAGATAAAATACATTTTTAATACTAAATAATATAGATCCTTATATAAATAAATTATTAATACAAATGGAATTGTGTAAAAGACTTTACATTAAGATTTTTAGTACGAAATTTTATTAATACATATTATGAATTAATAATAGTAATAATTGAAAATAAATAGATTATTAATTATTATAATTAACATTAATTTGAAAAATATATATTTTTAACTAAACATATATCTTAGAAAACAAATAAATAAATATTTAAAAAATATATTACCAATCTCATGTATGGTTATTCGTAAATTTTAGTAAAATGGTTAATTAATATTTTTATTGATAAAATTAAAATTATACTTAAGTATTGTTTTAATCTATCTATTCTATTGCATTCACAAGAATAGTTTACATTTTTTAAATTTAAATAACTTTAGATTTGTACATTTTTTATATTGAAAATTTATTGTATCTATTTTTTTAAGAAAGTGCAATTTATATTCTTTATATTTAAAACTTTAATAAAAGTTCTTTTTATCACTTTTTCAATATTGAAGTTATATGATTTGTCTAATTTTAATGGCACATAATTGATGTGCTTCGTATCTTATCCGTAAGAGCACACATTTTATTAAATAAATATAA